AGGCACCAAAGGCTTCATATTACTCTAGTATATTTAGAGGAGGGATATCTATACATCCCTCCTTCTCCTCCCCCCTTCTCCTTTTCCTTCTTCTCCATTGTCACTGTCTTCTCCTCCTCCTCCTCTTCCTTCTTCTCCTTTTCCTCTTCCTCCTTTTCCTTCTTTTTCTGGCTTCCCTTTGTTCTGGTCCTTAGATGGAATCTTTGTCTTGCAGCTCTTTTAGTTGTAGCCCACTGTTATTATTACTGGATGCTATTAGTGTTGTGGTAGGGTGAGTGGGTAGGGTGGGAAAGAAAAGGATGTTCCCTTATCTCTTAAGCTTCGAAATAAGTCTCAGTAATTTTTGGGCTTGTGCCTCAGGGGTGGGGTTAAACCTTCAAAAGACTTTCTGTTTCCAGTCTATTTTCTTGCAGTCCCCTCCCAAATGACTATACCTTACCTTCTGTATTTATTTACTTATTCACTTACTCACTCTTACATGAGACAGGAAGGTTGGAAAGGACTGGAGTTTGTGGAACTCCCTTCCTTCAGCTTGGAAAAGTTTCAGAATAGCCCTCTGGAGAAGTCCCTCCCCTGTGAGGTAGACCTGCTAGGAGAAGGGTCTGGAGGGTTTTACAGTAGCTACTTTTCCATCCCCTCTGCCATGCCTATCTTCACCCTGAAAACTTGATGTGGTTCCTAGAGGAAAGGGCTATGAAAGCATATGCCCCCCTTTACTGTCCAACCCCCCAGCTTCTTACTCACCCTGCAAGAGCTTGTCAAAATTACTTTTTAACTCTTCCTACCAGCTTTTGTCATTTTGCAGCTTCTGCTCCAGGTCTTGGTTGTTGTATTTCTCTGAATGCACCTGTTTCTCCATGTTTCAAGGAAGTTATTTGCCCTGTTTTATGATGGATCAAGAAAAGTCATTCATTTTGTTTGTCCAGGTTTTTCTTGTTGTAAGGATAGGAATGACAATTTTCAAGGTCTTACATATAACAACAACAACAAAACCACCTTTCCCCTCCCAAATATGGGTGTGGGTGATATGTCCCTATCACCATGGAGCCTAGGGCATTAACATCAGAGCCTCAGGACAGTTGGGCCTTGGGTGGGTACAGGAAACAGGATGTGTTGTTCATTTTTAAAATGCATCTTCTCATTATTTTCATTTTTACAGTTTTTAAGAGGACTTTAATAAAGAGGATTTAGGGAATAAAGAAGTGAGCACAGCATTGTTTGTAACAGCAAAAATCAAAATAACTTGAATATCCATAGGAGAATGTTTAAATTAATTGTTACCTACAGGAGACTGTTGTGGAGGTGTTCAAGAGAATGGAGAAACTGTTTGCTGCTGGTACCTGCTAAGAAGATGTCTGAGAGAGAGAGAGAATGACAGCAGGCAGGAGCAGAGTGGGGAGGGGCAGAGGGAGAGGGAGAAGACAGACTCTCCAATGAGCAGTGAGCCAGATGCCGGCTCCATCCCAGGACCCTGGGATCATGACCTGAGTTGAAGGTAGATGCTTAAGTGAAATAAGTCAGTCAGAGAAAGACAAATACCATATGATTTCACTCATATGTGGAATTTAAGAAACAAAATACGTGAACATAGAAGGGAAGGAAAAATAAGGTAAAAAAGAGAGGAAGGCAAATCATAAAACAATTAAATATAGAGAACAAACAGAGTTGCAGAGGGGAGGTGGGTGGGAGGATGGGGTAACTGGCTGATAATCATTAGGAGGGCATGTGATGTAATGAGTAGTGGGTGTTATATGCAACTGATGAATCACTAAACTCTATCTCTGAAACTAATGATACACTATATGTTAATTGATTTTAAATAAAAAAGATGTCTGTGATGCGCTGTGCAGTAAAAAGGATTAAAGTTCGTGTGTGTTTATGTCACAGACGCAAAAAGGGTCTGAAGACACATCTAGTGTTTGAGAAGGTCAGGGAAATGGAGGCTCAGCACTTCACATAGTTTGGATTGGTTGTAGTAAATGGGAATTAGTTTTGTAATCAAAACAACAGAAGGATAAAAGAAGGAAGGAGACTCACTTTTTATTGTTTTCTGTGTCTTTTGAGTTTTGTATCCTGTATTTATCCCCATTCCATAAAAAGTAAAATAAAATAAAATAAGAAACCAGGAAAGGTAAGATGTACCCCCCCCAATGTAGTTCACTGGGTCTTCCTCAGCATGTGCTGGCCTTTACCCCTTTTCAGCACCTCCCTCCTGATCTCTGTCCAGCCTTCCTGGTGCACCCCAGGCCACCCTACTATAGGCTCAGGCCACCCCCACCATTAGGGCAGGCTGGGAGGCTGCCTGGCCCCCTCCCAGCACCTCTCAGTATCCAGTGCAACCTTGGAAGGCTGGAAGATTGAAAGGCACAGTGCACAGGCCTTAGGGTGTACCCCAGTCCTCTGCTTGTCACTGTGTGATCCTGGGGAGTCACTTAGACTCTGTGAGACATCTATGAGCTGGAGTTTTACTTTATATGGGAGAAACAACCTCCTATAATTTCTATAGCCATGTATAAATGAGAGGGTTAGAAATGACCAGAATTCTGAAAATACCCCACAGGCCTCTGCTACTCCCAGCACCGGGCTAGGCACTTATCCCAGGAGCTGGCCCAGCAGTTCCATTCTTTCCTCTCAGTGGGTCACCTGAAGAACATGCCCCATCAGACTGGCACTGCCTGTACTCCTCTTGCAGGGGAGGGCATCCCAAGAAGTGGGATGTAGAAAGAGATGGTCTGAGGCTTCCTCAGACCCACTGGACACAAGAGAAAGGGAAGGCCCTCCTCTGTTCTCTCAGCAAGGTGCCTGGTAGGCCACTACTGTAATCTCCCACCACATTGCAGAGAATGAAAATTTCTAGGGTGTCAGGATTGCTTAAGATGCTTCCCATAGTGAGAGCCACTGCGCTGGTGGTTCCTCTCAGGCAGGCATGACCTCAGTTCCTTTTCTCTGCTGCTCTGTTGCTAGGTCACTGCAGACTACCTTCACCATAACCTCTGGGTCCTGGACCTCCTTGGTTTCTACCTTTATCAGCACTCTTGGGACTGGCTGGATTCTCCCCACCAGTCACCATGTCACATCAAGGAAACACTCCCTCAGAACTCCTGCAAGGTAAAAACAACTCTGCCACTCTTCAGACACAGGCTCACATTCAATAAGATATCAGAAAACCATGAGGAACCTTTTGATATTTCATTCTTTCAACAAGTAAATATGTACTGAGCCCTTGCTCTGCTCAGGTGCCGTACAAAGTGATAAGGACCATGATTAAATGAGGGATGCCCCTGCCCTCAGGCACTCAGGTTGCTTACAGGGAGACAGGCAGCTGGTACCCAGAGGGTGCCCTGGAAGAAGGGAGTAGTGAAGGCTTTGAAAGAGTTCACTACAGGAGCTCAGCAAGAGAACTTCTATAGCCTCGTGAAGAGCTGGGCCTTAGGAGCCAATGGATGGGATTCAATCCTCATCGACCCCACATACTAGCTGCGTGTGTTCATGGGCAAGTCATATCAGCACTTTGTGCCTTGGTCTCCGTATCTGAAAAATGAAGACAACTGCATTCAGGCTGATACAGGGATGAGGTAAACTATTCCGTGTATAACCTGCTCCTGGCACAGCTCTATAATGCTAATCATTTGTGGAAGTCCTGGGAGGGGGAATCACGTGTGGTTTTCCAGGGAGACTGGCCCTGACCTTCCCTCAGTATTCCAGGGATGGGCCTGGTCAGGAGCCTATAGGAGCACACAGTAGGCCCAAGTAAACAGTTGTTAACAAGGGCTACAGAGCCTTTTCTAGTCTGAAATGAAGCCTCAATCAGGAGAGGCACCAGCCTGTGGTCAGCTGTCAGACAGCATCCCTCTGGCTGGAATTTCTCCCCCACCATCTGACCTACCCCTTTCTACGATGACCTTTCCTCTAGAAACAGTTTCATGTCTGTGGCATACCATCCTTCGCATCTCACTGCAGCATGTCGGGTGAGGTAGGATCTAATCATAGAGAAACTTGAGGCATGGTCTGTCACTGTGCCTGACGTCCTGACTCTTGCCCTTCCTGAGGCTGCGGGCCACCTTTCCCCTCCACGATTCTGAATATTTGGTACTGTGCATGTTGTTGTGGCTTTCAGGAAGATGAAAGTTATAGCTCCATTCTGAGGTAAGTTTTCCTGAAGGGGGAGGCAAAGATACTGACCATGTGGAGGGGCGAGAATGGCAGAGTTGTGGACAATCAATCAGCTTCTGCCCTGAGAACATCCTTGGCTTCATTTAGAGGAGTTGGGGAAAATTATTGGTCTGATTTGTAATAGAGAATTCACTAACACCCATTGACTAAGGTCTGCAGGGTCTAGCCCTGGCAGGGTTGTTGTCTGCTGATTAAAGGCCTTAATGAGATGAGGCTGGTCCTGCTTCTCATTCCCACAAGAAGTCCTTCAGGGCCCCAGTACATTGTGGCTACTTGTCCTGGGGGTAGAGAGCAGGCTGGTGTGGGGCCAGTGGACGTTCCTGAGCTCATCCACAGCACCCCATCCTGCCTGTCTCCCACTCTGCCTCCCACCCATAAGCCTTAGACTACACATTTATTTTTCTCAAGCCCTATGCAGACTTCTTGGCTCCCTCTACTTCCCATTTATAAGATGTACTGTTATCTTCCCATCAGTTTCAAGCCTGAGCTCCTCTCTCTAACATGCTGTATGAGAAGCCAGGTGTGGCCACTTCACAGCCAACTGGGATTCAAGTCTTCATTTCTTTGTGGGGAAATCTGTGAGGCACACTTTGAGAGCAACAGCAGCTGTGCAGCTGTCCTTGGCCTTAGGCTGCCCAGTACCTGGTCTGGCTGAGCTGGTTCAGGCATGGCTGTTCCACATTAAAATGCTTTGCTCCACTTGCCTGTGTCCTGCTACCCCCACCCACCAACAATCCTTACATCAGGGACAAAGGGTGGAGATTTGGGTGTTAGGTTCTCTTGAATGTGGCCACAAAGACACAGTTTCTGGTGAGTGAGGCCCCATGCTATAGGTGAGGCTCAGCCATGCTGGTCTGGGGGCTCCTATTTCCGGTTGGTTGCAGAGGAAGCCTTCATGGGCCAGGAAACTGTAGCAACTTTCTGGGGTACTTGCAGAGGGGGCTCACTTGTACTGGCTGTTGGAGGTGATGTCTAGGATTCCTGGCAGTTGGCCCCAGGGGCTCAGCTGGATAGTAGGGCCAAGAGGGGCTACAAATCTAGCTGGCCCCTATGTATCGCCTGCTCCACAGCCCTTGAACTGAGCTGCAGGGGCTGGTCATCCATAGAAGCATGATGAGCCTGGGCATCCATCCTGGTGGGCTCCACCCCGAGCTGGCTAAGGCCCAGGACATGGCCTGGGCACCTCTGGTCCTGTGGGCTGTGGAGTGGACTAGCCAGGGAGGGCAGGCCACACACAATCGGCATGCGAGGGAAGCTGTTAGTCTGTTTCTGCTGGAGAATATCAGAGCCTCTGGCCTGAGGGTGCCTACAGGACTCACTGCTTGTGTCCTGCCTTGGGGACTGTGTAGTAGGGGGCTGGCAGTCTGGGTGGATGTGCAGGGCTGCAACCTGGGCCACACAGCCTGTCAGGGTGGGCTCTACATCGAGGGTGCTTCCGCCAGGACCTGGCGTCCAGGGACCTTGGAAACACTCCAGATTCCCAGGAGGCCTGGGCTCCTGGAAGCCAGGCCAAGGGTTTGGGACCTTATTTTTGCTAGAGGTGTCTTTTGTTGCAGAGGCTGCAGACCCCACAGAGGAGAACAAGCCTTCATGGCAGCCTTGCATCTTTCCTTCCCCAGAGACCTGCACACACTCCAGAGATGGGTCCCTGGACAGAGTGCTGGTTCCCTGCTCGGGCCCTCCTAGGACCTTGCTCTCTCCAGCAAGCAGGCCCTTGGGACCCGAATGTGCCCACAGCTCCCACCTGCTGGGTGCTGAGCCCACAGCGGTCCTACCTGCATCTGAAGCCCTAGCCCCCCTGCCCTCCAGCTTCACTGGATGTGGGCCCTTTTTCTCAGAGCCAGCTCCCACCTTCTCTGCCTGTCCCCTGGGTGAGGTTGCAGTTTCTCCAGGGGCTGAGGCAGGTGGGGTGCGGAGTTCAGGGCCACGGCGAAGCCAGTTGATAATGCCCATGGTGATGGCAAGCTCGGTGTCACAGAGTTTTAGCAGGCACTCCTTGCCCTTCCAGGAGCTTTGCAAAAAGCCCTGGCTGAGCAGGTCTGGGCCTGGTGCTGGGGCCAAGTTCTCCTCTGCCCCCACATGGAAGCTGCACATGGACAGTGGTGCTCCTAGGGCTGGCCCTGACAGACTCTCAGACACACATAGGTCATCATCCAGGCTTGGGCCAACAGGGCCCTCGCTGGGGTCATAGAAGAGCTCGTAGAGGGCATCTCCACTGTAGCTGTCCCGGGGGAAGGCTGCTGGTGTGCCTGGACTTGAAGCCTCCTTCTTGTCCTCCTCAAGGCCAGGTGAAAATGAGTCATAGTAGCCCTCATCACTCGTGGACACGGATTCTGGCTGCTCACTCTTAGGGGTACCTGTGTCTATGGAGCTGGCTTTGGAGCCACTGTGGGGGTCCCTACAGGGACACAGGGGTAGCTCAGCAAGCCCAGCTGCATCCAGCCTGGGCCGGTCTGTGTCTGTGCCCTGGGGACCCCCCAGCCATGGCTCCAGTAGGGCACGGTGCTGCTGCTTCACAGAGTGATTCACACTGTCCCAGAACTTGGCAAAGTCAGACAACTCGTTTTGGGCAGGTGATGCCGGCTGTTCCACACTGCCCTGGAAGGGGCCCCTAAGAACCTTGCTTTCAAGGGCCTGTGATACCTGGGTTGGGCTCTCTGGGCCCTCATTCAGTTCCAGGGATGGCACTGAACTTTCATCTGCAAAGATCTCCCCACAGCCCGTGAGAGAGTCAAAACTCTTGAGTGAGGCCACATCCTCACATAGGGCCCTGCAGAGGTCAACAGAAGAGTCAGGCAGGAGCTCATTGTCAGATAGGTCCTGGAACAGGCTGTCGGGCCCCAGTCCCTCACCTAAGGGGAAGAAGGCTTTGCCTGTCTGCCCACTAGCCTCTGATGGGCCCCGAGGGGAAGACAGGTTCTCCCCCTTGGTCACCAGTGAGGCCAAGTTCTCAGTCTTGTTTCTGCGAATGTGGAATAGGTTCCGAAAGCACTTCTTAGGTCGTTTCAGGGAGATCCTCTTCCTTGGGATGCTCTTGGCCACAGCGGGCACAAAGGGCATCTGGGGCACAAAGTGGCGGTAATCAATCATGCGCTGGCTGCTGGGGGGCCCTGGGAAGCTTGCACTGCCCACCAGCTGCCCTGTGGTTGTGCTCGCCCTGCCAGCCCCAGGCACACTGTCATGAGTCTTGCTCTTTTGTACCAGTTTGAAGGTGGCCCCACAAAAGGCTGCAGCCCCCACCTCGGGTTCTGGCTTTGCTTCCTTGTTGGAGCATCTGTCATATCCTTGGGCGCTGGGACTAACCTGTGGGGCCCTTTCACTCTGGGGTTTCTGTTGCCCTCCTGGTGAGACTGACCAGGGACTTGCATCCTCCCTGGCCAGAGTGGCGGCTGCTGGATCTGGGGCTTTCTCATGGGAAATCTGCAGGCTGGATTTGATGAAGGTCTTTCCTCTCTTCAGCTCCATGCTGCCAGGGCCCCAGGCTGCTGTGAAGGAAAGTAGGAGGCACTTAATATCCAAGATGTACGCCTATGGCACTCTGCTTACACAGTGGCTTTGGAGCTGAGCTCTGACATCTAAACCTGGATCCTCCACAGAGGCAGGGAGAGGGAGATGAGAATGGCCTCACCCATGCTCACTGCTCCAGGGCTACCCCCCACTGCTCCACAGAAAACTGATATTAGAGAAGTTAAGTCACATGCTTGAAGTCACAGAGTAGGAGCCAAATTGAGAGCAGACTAGAGTCTGGTGCTCTTGTGTCTGTGATCTCTCAACTCAACCAAGCATCCTCTCAGAGTTTATCTGGCCAAGTCAGATTCCCATTTCCAGGCCCAGGCATTCTACAAATAGCACCACATCCTTACAGGGAACGTATCACAGCCTTTCTGAGTGGTGGAGCAGAGGATTCAATAAATAAGTTCCTGCCTTCATCTAAGAGACAAAGCTCAAAGGGAAACCTAAGCTTGCCTTTTGGGATGGACGCAGGTGCTCATCAGTTGGAAGGGAAGACACAAACACTGCCCTCCAGGGCTACTGCATCTGTCTGAGGAGGCAAGACTCAGTCTACACAGAGGCCATCAGGGCAAGGCACAACAAAGCATCTAATGGTGCATGCTGGGTTTGAGCACTGAGAAGAGAGACAGCATCATGGTAGAAGGCAAAAGTGAGGAGTCAGGCATTAGGCCAGGACCAGGCAGGTTAGATAGACACAGCACATGATGGGCTGGAGAGCAGGCAGGTATCACTTTCTGTGCACATCCTGAGAGGTATTGATGCCTGGAGTGCCATCCACAGTGCCACATATGAATGCCCAGTCTGAGTCCAATGGGAAAGGGTGTTGGGATTGATTACTGATGTCTGTCCTGGGTGTGGGAGGGGGAAGACAGTAAGAGTGTTATCTTGACCATTTTTTCATAACTGGGGAGTGTGGCCTTCCTCTGAGGTCAATGAAGAGCTATAAAAGTCTTCTGAGTGAGTGGGTGGGTAGAAACAGTGGCATAATAAAGTTGGTGGTCTAAGACCATTTATCTGATATCTGAGTGAAGGACAGAATAAATTAGGAGAGAAATTTTGAGCAGAGAAGATTCACAAAAGGCAACTAAAGTGGGTTGAGTACGTGAAGACAAGATCCATATGGAAGCTGTAGTCATAAGTCACAAAAAAGAGAGGTGAAGTTATAGGGCCTTTCAAAGGCAGAAACGCTAGGACCCAGCAACTGAATAAAGAAAGAGAAGTCATCAACAATGAGGAAGCAGTAAATACTGACCCAGAATTGGGAAAAGGTGAGGAAGTAGAAACTGAGTGAAGGCAAGAAAGGGGCCTGTGCTAAGAGCTGGTTTGAGACAGAAGCAAGACTCTAAGGTTTTAAACATGTTGCCTTTGGGGTGAGTTTAGAGACCTGCAAGAGTGGACCAAAAGAAGGTAATGCCCAAGAGCACCACCTGTGAACTTCCCTGGACTCTCCCTCTCTGTACCCAGCTCACAGCTCAGCCTGTTCCAGCAGCTCTTCCTCTCCTTGGTGGTGAGCAACCTGCCAGTCCATCCTGTCAGTTTGGCCAAGGAAAGATCAGAGGAGAGAGTTGGGTTTCTTTGACTCTCCATAGGGACTTGCTTAATAAGGAGCACCTGAATTCACTCCCCCACAGTTCGAAGTCTGTGAGGGAGGGATGCAGTGGGTATAAAAGCAAGTGGCTCTGTCAGCCTGCATGCCTTTCAGATCTACTGCCCACAAAGCTTTGCAGCTACCTTCAGAAAACTGTTTGACAGATATGAGCTATCCAGGTCAGTTCTGGAGTCTCTCAAATGCTTAGCCATGAGGACCTGGAGGTGAGCAGAGGGGCTGCCTCACAGCCCAGTTGACAACATTAAAGCTGAAGAAGATGAGAAGGGGTGACAAGGCTGCCATTTCGGGGGCTCACAGGGGCAAGCTGACCAGCCTCCACCCTACTCCCACCTATAGGCAGTGCTTCCTCCCCTGCAGAGGGACACGTGGGACTTCTGGCTGGAGGATAGGAGGAGTCAGCACTGTGCCAGGGAAAACCACAGACCAGACTTGGCTCTGGTGGCAGCTCAGCTCTTGGTGACAGCATCCTAGACAGTGGGACAGTGCTTCAAGCTGCCTTTCTGCTTCCTGTGAGGTGGAATGTGCCCAAGCCTTTCCTACCCTATATCTACAGATCCCATTGTAATTCCCCACAGTCCTTTGTGGCCTAGATAAGTTCTTCCCCAGGTCTGATGGGTTTTACTATACACAGCATAGTGGTTACTATTAGGACTTTGGAGTTGAAGAACCCAGATTTGAGTCTTGGTTGCATCTACCTAACCAGGTGATAGCTTGGCCTATAACCTTATGAGACATACTACTGTAACCTCCATTTTACAAAGGAAAAATTAAGGTCCGGAAAAGTCAATAGATTGGCCCAGGTTGCACATGTGGTAAGTGACAGAACTAAGATTTGAAACCAAGCCCATCTGATTCCGATCATGTGCTCTTAACCACAGTAGACATTCTATAAACCAATAGCCCAAACTCCTCTTCATGGGAAATTTAAAAATCAAATAATAAATGTGTTTTTATGAGGAATTTTGGAAAGCACAATGAAAATGGTGATCAAAATCAAAAGTATGGCTCACACAAATTTAGAAAAATTGTAATTGAAGATAATATAATTTCTATGACAAGAAATTTTAGAGATTATTTATTATGAGATCTCTTTTCTATGTTTTAAAAAACCTTTTTATTACCATACTCTTAGAAATAACTTGAAGTGAGCATGACAAAGATTACTTCACTGTAAGCAGGAATTGCAACTATAAGAACTAAGATGGTTTACCTGATATTGATCTCTATAAATAAAACTGATTTCTTAATCCTGAATTCAGTTAACTGATTTAAAATCACGAAGAACTGGATATTTCACTATATTTTGAACTTGAAAACTGATGTCTCAAAATAACAATCATTTCTACAGATGGCTGGACTCAGTGTCACTAATGTTGCCAACTCTGTTTCCTGAGTTCATTTAACACTTTGGCACATTGATAGGGCAATAAGCACTAAGACTCGGAATAATGATTGAGAGACTTGCAAAATACTGGAGCAATTATGTGAAATTCAGTGTATGTTCAGTGCAGATTCTACATTAAAATATTTTATCAGAGCCTGACTCTTTAGAAATGTGGGTCCTGTATATGACATGGGTGGGATCTTCCTGGGGGGTCAGAGGGCCTGCTGCCCAACTGGAGAAAAGCTGAGCAGTCACCTTCCATGACAGTTCTCAGGGACAGAATGGAATTTATCTGGACAGTCAGATGCTGACACTGTCGTTGCTTGAGGGCAGAGGCCAAATATGTCCGGGTTCCCATCTGAAAAATGCACATTCTGCTTTGTAACCCTCTGGCTAAAGACCCCTCCAGTGGAGCTCAGCATGAAACCTGAGAGGGAATCCTCTACCATGTGCCACATCCTTCCCCAAAGGACAAAGTAGCCCTGTCCCTTCCCTGGTTTAGTGCCTTCTTGTCTGCAGCACTCAGTGATCACTGACTCCTCATTCTGGTGTTTGTTTGGTCTTCTTACTCCCCCATGAGGTTAAAAAATTCTCTAAGATTCAGGACTCCAACTGTGGTTGACAGTGAGCCACTGCTTATTTAAATGAAATATTTATGTTTTTGAGACATTTTAGCCATATATTTACATCTAAGTTTCCTAAATAGGATGCAGAATCTGACATTTTTAATTCTATAGTTTTGCACATCATTCTCTGAGAAGGGTCTCAGTGACACCAAGACCTTGGACTGAGTCTTGCATCTCTAAAAATTAACTTCCAAATTCCATGAAAACAGGGACCACACCATGTATTTATTTAATCAACTCTGATTCAGGGATGTGGAATTTAAACCAATCTAAAAGACAGCTGCAGACAACCAGGCAAAAGATGTGGGAAGCATATTCCAGGCAGAGGGAACATCCCTCAGAAAGGCCTTGCAGAGCAAAAGATGAAGAATATTTAAAGCTCTGAAAGCAGGCCCAGGTGGCCAGAGCAGCAAGCCAGTGGGATGAGGTCTGGAGATCGGCAGAGCAGACAGCACCAGGCCTGAGGTCACAAGTTGGGTCTTGGCTTTTATGCTATGAACCATGGAGGGACAGCCATCAAGGGTGAGTAACAGGGGCCAGTTTTCAGTTTTAATAGATCAGTTGTAAATGAGGATGGAAAGCAGGCTCAAGAGTGGAGGCAAGAAGGCAGATTAGGAGTCAGAGCAGGGCCTAGTGGAGAGTAAGTAGTGACAGAGACTTTCCATGTATGCTAACCTTTCTTCTCAGTGCCTTACACAGAGTATGCACTTGCATATGGATTTATTGCAAATTGAGAATATGAAGTAATTCTACTGGCTGCTTTTCTACAAGATGAATAACTTTAGCTCGACTGCCTAGGATTTTCTTTTCCCTTTGGGAAGGTAATTCTGTGAGCTTCTTTCCTTTTGTAACATGAAAGCGATTTGGTATATCACAGAGCAAATAACCTTGCAGGTACACATATATAATAGAAGTGGTTTGGAGATATAAAAATTTTGACTAATAGTTTTGGCATTTGCCATGCTTTTCCCTGACCCGCCCCCAACATCCAGTAAGTAAAACCACAAGCCTTGAATTACAAAGAGGTGAATGGTGATAAGAAAGCAGAGGCCTCAGAGGGGAGCCCCACCAAGGGACTTCCTGGACACTGGGGTCAGAGTGGGAGGCTATGTAGGGGCAATGGTTTATCTCTGTAGAGTGTGCCTTGTCTAAGCCAAAACCTTCAGGATTGATGGAGTGAAGGCTATTGTGGGGAGATAAAGCCTCGTGTTATGGGGTGGGTGTGGGGTGGGGAATGAAGCAGAAATAGAATCTGCAGTGAGAACATCACCAATTTACCCAACCCCCACGTTGGAGAGACAAAGGGCCCTTTGGGGAGCAAAGGTTCTGGCCC